GTGGTCGTGTGACAATAAGCTCCCAGCGCCTGCTGAATTAAGGACTGCGTAAGCACCAGTCTACTTAGAGTACAATATTTAAGTGTACAAAACCCGGTATTAAAAGTATCTGATTATATAATTTTCTCATTCTACCAATACTGAATATTTAAATTCGTAAAGATGTAAGTTTGTTGACTGCAGCACGGCTGAAGGTCCATTTTTTTTCACAAGATTGAGTTAAAGAAAAATTTCTAGCAATGAAATATCTGTTTGATCTCACTATGTCATGATTGCTGCCTGTTCCCTGCTAATCTCACACGGCAGAACCACACTGACTGCTTTACATTTAGGTTTTTGCTCGACCCCAAGGAACATTTGTGACAGGAGCATACATCTGAGAAAAGGCTTTGCAGTTTGTGTTGTAGCAGAGCTCAAAATACTGAAGCCAAATTTTTTTTGAATACCCCACTGTAGTTATGACTGGTGCCCTGAAAACATTCAGAAGGTGAGTTCTGACTTGCTATATGCTTAAGAATAAAGCCTTGAAGTTCTCATTAGGATCATTTCTTTCCATAAACACTGCACAGTAACAAGTACAGTCACTGTACCAACACTGCACTCTAAAGTTCTTCATTTTATGTACTACAAACTCTACAGTTAAAATGAAGTGGTATGTCACAAGGTAAACAAAAAAATGCACAGCAGAATTACTAATCTAAGAAAATACACAATTGCTACAGGTTTGATCCCAAACCCTTTTAGCTCCTTTCCACTTCAGCTTGCTACAGTCAAAGCTCTTTGGGAAGGATGAGGAGGGACCAATACATGCTTTGGCTTGCTTACATATTTCTGGTATGTATGCTTAAAATATGAATCAAGCAAATACTAATGATCTCAGTCTGCCTCAGCATGCTGGGTACAGGTGAAGTGAGGAAAGGCTGCTCCTGTTCATCATACAACTCAGCCGTGTTCTGGATTGGAACGGTGGGGTTTAACTAAGAAAACAGAAAATATACGTCTTCAATACTGTAGTGATTATAGGACAGTCAGCAACTGCCAGTTGACAGCTCTCAGCTGAATAAACATTGAGATATATTTATTACAGTAAAAATGAGTGATGCATAAGGGGGCATCAATCATTTAGAGTACAATTCATTTGTAGTTACAAATAAAAATAAAAATCTGTAAGCACTAGAGAAGATTTGGGAGAACTTTTGTCATATGACAGTGTACAAGGTTGATGGCAGCATTATTAAAATTAGTTCACAATCATCACTAATTATTTTACTGCCTACTGACTGTTTCAAAAGAGAAGGGAAAGTGAGCCTAGGAAGTGGATTACTTGAGACCAAAAATTACAAGGAAGCCTTCATAAGCAGAGTATTATGAGTATCTGTACATCACAATCTAGATGGTCACTTTAGCTGGGGAAATAATCCAGTTATTAACTGTACTAATGCAAAAAAATTAGAACTTTTATGATGTGTGGTAGACTGTTCAGACTCTTGTATTACGTATAAAAAAATCTACTTTTTGGATATAATTTTCCATTCTCTAATGGCATCCTAGAGAAAACAACATTGTTCTGTTCTAAGAATATAATGGGAAGTGAATCCTGTCTATGACATTCACCAGTAACTATCTTTCCATTGTTATTTAGCAGTAAATAAATTTTTCCCCTTCGTACAGTGGTTTTTAAAAATATATTGTCTTTCCATTCTCCCTGTAGCTTTCTAAAATATAACTGTTATAACACAGCACTGAAAAGTGGCATGCACTAAGTAACTGAAAAATGACATGTTATGAAAAAAACAGTAAGAACCTGGTAAAACAGATTTTCAGCTATATCAGAAATAGATAACTTTAATGAACATGCATGCTCCTCCAGATTTTTTTCTGTCTTTTCACTGCAAATTTTCACTCTAAAATCTTTAGAATACTTATGATAAGGGATATGTTAAAATACAAATGTTATATTTAAACATAAAATACACTACAATATAGTGGCTAAACCATCTTTCTAATTTGGTTTAAATATGCATTTAGCTTTCATGTCATACTGCATGGTGACCTTTTATATAATTTGCCAAAGAATTCATTATTCAGATGATTATTTTTTTGCTAAATATTCAAAATCAATTTTCACTTTCCTAAATATTAACTATGACACATGAACATTGGACAGCTTAATCACACTATGTTCTCTATTACTTACAACTATATTTTTTCAAACACGAGTGATTGTATTTGCATGTGTTTTCATTAAGCGAGACCATTTTACCACCTAACTAGGGGTTCTTCACACTTCCGACAGGAACACTGCAATTGCAGTATTTGAAATGCAACTTTGCAAATGAGCAAAAGTAGGTACATGCATACAGCTCATTTGAAATATTGAATGTAAACAGGATTCTGTATATGGCACTAATTTTCTGTACATTAGGAGTACTTAATCACTATTATTATTACTATTAAGGTTTTGTTACAACTGAAGCTAGTCAGAAAGCAATTTAATGAGTATTTTGGAAGTGGTCGACACACGAAAGTAAAAATATATTGTATACAGGACCAAATTCTCAGCTGCGTTAAACTCAGATTGGAACAGATAAATGTTCTGGGAGTAAGGAAGGAAAGCTTCAGGGTTTCCCCAAAAGGTATTTCTAATAGTTCTTTGACAGCACAATGACTATCAAAGCACACTAGGTGCTGCAGCAATGAATCCCTATCAGAAGAAAACAGCTGTACTCTGAAGCCTGTGACATACCGGGCAGCGTTAACCACAGGCAAAGCCCCACCAAGGCTGCGCTTGCCACCCTCCCTCTGCCTGCCACAGCCCCCGTGTCCACCACAGGCTACGAAGGTAAATGGTTTATCGATCAGGCTGGTTTTCTACCATGTCAGGGGTATTGCTCTGCTTTAGCAAAGGTGGGTTTGGAGTAATATGGGGGTTGAGGAACCTTTAAACAAAGGGAAAATCATGTAGTGAGAGCAAATAGGCATAAAGTGTCTATGGAAATATTTAATTGTAGCTTTTGCAATTTATGACACGGTTGTTATTGATGTGGTGTCAATAGTAACAGACTAGCTCCTGAGATAGGGGAGATTTAAAGCACCTCACATCTGTTCCTATAGGTGGTTCCTATTTTTAGGACTAAAGGAAAGAAATCTTTTCATTTCATTCCTCACTTCTAGTAACGGCATGAAATGTTCATATGCACATGCACAGGACTGTTTTTATGGTGAAAACCTATTATCTAGTTGAAGTAAAAATGCCGCTACAGGTAGTGTAGATACATTTTTAACACCAGCACGTGAATGTGTTCCAGTTAAACCAGAGATTGTAGTGAGCCACATCTTTCAAAGCAAAAAAGTTAGAAAATTTTATTTGCCTGCACATAGCTTTTCCCATTCATAGTGAGGATTTTTAACCTTATTGTCCACACAATGAAATAGTCTGATTAACAAATTAGAAAACCATCACAAATGAAAACTGGTACTTAAGCTGTTTTGTACAAAGAAACTCTGCCACCCTAGATATCCAAAAGACTTTTCTGAATACTGATAAGGTAAATGACCAGTAAAAAACCATACTAAGTGGGGCCTGAGATGATAGAAAACATTGGCTAGTACTGGAAATAATGTAGCAGACATTGAGGATGTTGAAAAATTAAGTAATTTTTGTTTAGATGCCACTCTGGAAAACACAGTCCTTATTTTAAAATTTTGTAGCTGTAGCACTTGTGGACTTAACTCATGATTACAATTCTCCTTGACACGTAGGCCACAAAATGGAATCCAAAGCATAGTTATTTCAGCAAAGTAGGTAGTTACTCTGTTTGTTTGCATTCCTTTTGCTGTAGTTTAAAATAGAGCTTAAGATATACGATAGTTCAGAATTAAGTCCTAAACTACATCACACTGCAGGCCATTAGAACTTTATTTCCCTTAAGTACACTAAGCTTTTAATCAAGGAACCAATGCCATATTACTAATAATATAGAAAGAGAATTATTTATGCTTACATTCCCAGTAATCTCTCTATTCATTTTCAAAGACGACTTGTACCTGGGAATCAGAACTAATGCAAAAGCACTGAACTCAATAGGCACATTTAGAAGCTTAGTTCTGCTAAGTCCTGATCACTCTCTGAGAGCTGATCACTATTAAGTTGAGTGAAACAATGTTCTGCATTGTGCAGTCTCCAACCCTATGTGCCTCTAACTACTCAGAGAAGCCACACATTTCATTCTTGACTGATACGAGACCTTCAGCCATTTTTAGCATTTCTTCAGTTTCTTTATTTTTTCAATTTGCTTTTAAAATGTTTGCAATTTGTTTGAGCTGTACTAACTGATTTTAATATTAGACAGCTGTACACCTCTGGGTATTGAGGTAAAGATTGAATGCATTCTGTGGAAAAAAAGAGAGCCTTTTTTTGTATCTACTTGCTTTGATGTTACATGTCCCTCACACAGACAAAAAAACCCCCCAAACCTAAAAATGAAAAAGCTCCAGTTAAAGTTCTATAACAGATAAAAATCAGGTAAAGCATTAAAATCGGTTAATTTTGCCTTGCCAATATATTCCAAGATGCACAGATTAAAAAATACTAAATGCTGTGGACTTACTTGATCCCTATTTGTATTCTACTTTAAAATGAACAATGATGGCTTCGAGGGGAAAAAAAAAAATCACAAAATTATTTCCTACTCAGCTGGGGGAGATGGAGGAGAGGAAAATGCCTTATTTCAGTCAGGATTTACTAAGTGTTCTGGAAAGGTTTTGCCACCTGAATTTTTTTTATAAGACATAAGCATACAATATCACGGGAAATGAGATTGTGGGCTCAAAACGAACACTATCCAATTTCATGGAAAATAAATTCCAAACAATAATAAAAGACAAGACATTTGGTAGATATCAAAACTGAAGATAGGGCAAAGATACCTTGGTGTTTTAAGGCTATTAGTATTCTATTTTAAACAAAGGAAGCTCTTTGTTCCTGGCTATATTTTACTATCATTCCTTATGTCTTTTAAATTCCAACGGGTGGTTGTTGAACGAACATGACCAAGAAAAGCTCCGTAAAAACTTTCTGTGTGACTCATGGCATAGACCATTGCAATTTCTGGTTAAACATTTAGGACAACACTAAAAAATTCACTAAGAGCAAATACTGTCACAACAGCAGTGACAACGTTTAGCAAAACTACAGACTTCAAAAACCCACAAAAAGAAATCCTTCAAAGCTTTGTTGTCAATTTTCAGTGAGCATACTAAAACACATAAAGAGTTTTCCTAACATCTCAAGGCTTGTGGAAAAAATGGACCAGAATGCCAAACTGGTAAGAAAACTGGCAACTATTTTCAAAGATACCCACACAACTGACTGATGCGCAAGCAGGGTTGAATTTCTGAAATATGACAAACACAAGCAAAAATTGTCTAAAATTAAGTTAGTATACGTACAAATGCATTTCATGCCATCACGTGCATGCCGATGTTCACAGCCAACACACTTCCACCCTGTGAATCCAGGCTTGCAAGTGCACTGTCCAGTGACAGGGTCACAGGGGACAGGCAGGGAGCCGTATCGATCGCACTCACATTCCTGGCAGGAGCCTCCTGGAGTTTGTGGGTTTCCCGTGTAGCCAGAAGAACATCTAGACATTGCAAATACAAAACCAGGTTTGGCCAACTGAGATGTATAGTGTACTACAATGACTACTTGGCAAGAATGTAAAAAAAAAGTATATGAACATTCATTCATGAACCATTAAAAAAATCTTTGGTGCTTTATGATTCAGTATGCATTTGTAGAGGGAGAAATGTTGCAAACTGTCCAACAAACTGATAATAACTTTTAACCAGGACATGGAACAGTCTGGATGGAAGGAGTATGCAAAAGTGATTCCACATCCCTAACAGTTTTCACCTAAACTTCTATTATACCATGATAAAAAAGTTTCTACATTAGCAATGTTTTGTCTGTAGACCTTTTTTTCCCCTAGTAGCCACTTGTGTTTTGTGTTAGAAGTGAAATCTCATAGCAGACACTTGCTAATTTTGATCATCTTAATCCCACAGCATTGCTATGGATGGGACAACAGCTGCTGTTTAGATTATTAATTTACAATTTGGTCATTAATATGTTTATATGTAAGTGTCTTTCATGGTCGGTGCCCATGAGGACACAGCAGTCACTAGAACAAAGGTATGAGTGGCATCAAGACAGTCTATAAGCATGGTATCTACTTTTAGATAAATAGTGCATTTTTCAGTTTAATTTCTGAGGCCCAGGGGAAAAAAAAAAATCAGAAAGTAAGACTAGGACAATATCTGTGATATAAATAACATTGATTATCAATTTACAGTGGGTTTACATAAAAAAATGCCTATGATGGTTGAGTTTTAACAACATATAAAGAGGAAAAAACTTATCCAAAGGCATGTATTTAAACATTAGTAAATATACATTTATAGTATTGAAGGACATTGCTCTCCTTCATGTCTTGCCTGCCTTTCATTGTCCCTCTTTCTTGTTCCATTCACCCTACCTTTCACAGTACTGGCCTTCATATCCACGTGGGCATGCAGTACACCAGTAAACACTAGGTCCTTCCGCAACACAAGAAGGGCTGAAACTAAAACAAAAGCAAATAAAAAACTTTTTCCACTCTATTGCATCATTTTTCTCTAGTCAGCTGTGCAGAAAGGCCCGTGGTAAGCTCCACTCCTAATGTAAATGGAAGCATTTTCTTACCTGTTTATAAAAACCAGTGGGATATTCCTCCTTTCTATCAAGAACTTTGTGAATGAATGTGAAACAAAAAATTAAGAAACTGAGCTAACAAATATCCAACCTTTCCAGTCAGATTTAATTTTAGTTTAAATAAAAGGAGATAAGTCAGGAAGATTTACTCAAAGGTAAGACATAAAGAAGGAGAACGGAATAAAAGTCACAGCCATGTAGAATGTTCCAAAAAGGCTGCATCAGATGATATTCTCAAGCACGTACTGAAGAGAAAAGACTGGCCTACAGAGAAAAATAACCTTAAAAGCTACCTTCTGCATGATCAGGCAGGGGCCGCATTTTAATCATAGAAGACGCTAGATTATTTTTACTAAGCCATGACATAGATGAATAACTAGTGACTGCAATGTGTACCTATGGGACCTATGCAAAGTAGTATGTTGCTGGAATATGAGTGCATTAAGTTCCTGCACAGACAATTAAAATAAACAAAAAGAGTAGGAAGGGGAAAAGAAATAGAACTAAACATTAAAATGGTGCAATACTGTAAAACTCTCAGGTCTTTGTGGAAGAAGAACCTGAAAAGCACAGAGGTGAGCCCAGAGCTCCTTCTTGGTACAGTACAGTCAGCATCCTACTCTAACTTGCTTATAATGCATTAAACCAATAGAGCTTGAATGAGTATATAAAATTACACCTTTGAAAAAAAAAAATGTAAACAAATTGATCTATTACTCACAAACTCATTATCCAACACATTTTCAACTCTATAAAAATAGATCCACACCCCTAGGAACAACTCATTCTCTCTGTTGGTTTTTTTTTTTTCTTTTGAGCTGATCATGTTTGAAGCTGACTGCTGATTGTACATTAGTATAAAAATAGTATTTAAAACCTTAGTGTAGTTTTTTTAAATTTCATAAATAAAAATAACTGCACCATACTCATTCACAAACATTATCATGCCAGTCATGACATAATAAGATAATGAGATAGCTCATCAGCAATCTGCATTTCATGCAGATTATGATTACTTGCCTACCATACAATAGCTGCAGGTAGATTTTTTTTTCTTTAATAGTATCTTGAAGAGCTTTCACTAAGCAGCACAACACACACAAATCCAAGGTGTGATACCTTCATTCTCCACCTAATTCTGTAGCTTTATGGAATGGATCTATCCCACCTAGACCTATGCACCTAAAATTTAGGCACGTAGTCTAAGAAGTCAACTGTTCAGTCATCCTTTATCAGCAGTGGAAAATGGATATGCACAGACAGGCACATACACACATCTGAAACATCTCCTCCCCTGCCCTCTCTCCAATGGCGGTTTCCTTCAGTTTTAACATGGCTGAGATGTATAGTTGTCTGTCCCTGCATTTACTATACAGATACCAAAATTGTTGATGGCTACAGCCAACAGAAGTGGAAATCCCGTCCATGACGTCTAGAGACATCTGAGTTAAGCTCTATAAAACCCAAGCAGTTTTGTTTCTGGATGTGCTCAGATCTGACTCCTCTCTCCACTAGCACTAAGAAATCGGATAACTATCTCATAATTAAGTGTATTTACTAATTTAAGACTAGGTATAATTCACTTGTCTCCTATGAAGGCTTTTGAACAAAAAAGCCTTATGATCACTTTTATGTGAGCATGACACAAAAGGCCGTGCGGCTGCAATGAGGACTGGCACTTTGCTTGCTCTTCCTCAGGCAGCTCAGCAATTTGAGTGCACACCCAGGACACACATACTACCTGCAGTCCCAACATTTCTCAACTGTAGAGCACTTCAGCAACACCCACCTCCTGTGTTTTACATCAGCTTTTGGGTAAGGTATTGAAGTGATTTCTGGAGCATAGTGTGGAGAATATATGTAAATTCTTGTAGTTGTCTGCCATAACCACCCAGATAAAGACTCCTGCTCATTTTCTGATCTGATACCTGTATTTCTGGGCAACCAAAGGTTCTTAAGCCCCAGAAAAGAAAAAATAGATTGAATGATGTTTTCA